GCGGCAGTAGCAGCAGTAGCAGCAGCAGCAGCAGCAGTAGCAGTAGCAGTAGCAGTAGCAGTAGCAGTAGCAGTAGCAGTAGCAGTAGCCGTAGCGGCAGCGGCAGCGGCAGCGGCAGCGGCAGCGGCAGCGGCAGCGGCAGCGGCAGCAGCAGCAGCAGCAGCTGCAGCAGCAGGAGTAGTAGTAGTAGTAGTAGTAGCAGCAGCAGTAGTAGTAAGAGTGGTGTACTAGCAGCCGCAGCAGCAGTAGGCTGTACTAGTCAGGCACAGTCGCAGTAGCTTTCGCAGTAGCAGTATAGGTGTAGGAGTAGGAGCAGGAGTATTGGTAGTATTTTTCAATACAGCAGCAGGAAGAGTTGTCGTCGTCGTCGATCGTCGTCGTCGTCGCGGATCATCATGACGAAATTTGCGTGCAGGAGATGACGACTAGGACGATGGGCATGACAACGGTATGGATTTTTGCTTGATGGTGGAGTCGGTGGTTCGTGGTTTTCGTGGTGATGGTGACGACGACCGTGGAGCAGGTGATGACGAGGAGGGTGATGTTGATGATGGCCATGCCAATAGGCAGAGAACGAGGTCGGTTATGATGATGACGATGGTGGTGACGGTGATCGGGATGGGATGCGGTCGGGGCTGGGGATGTGGATGGGGATGCTGATGCTGGTGCAGCTCAAGCCGGATGCCAGGACCCTTATCATCCGTCCAACACGCCGATCTACCAGACTGCGACTTTCGTTCAGCCCTCGTCCAGCGAGTTTGGGCCCTACGACTACACTCGCCCGGACCTCAGAGTGAAGCGTCTTGACTGGCTGATCTGTAGCTTTCATGGATCTTGTCAACACTGACACAACGGCCTTCACTGGTTTCTGTATTGACCTTGGTAGTTTAACAGCCACGCCACAAAGACGAAGCTTGAAACTCTTGAGCCCCGAATCCTCATAAGGCCGCTGAACCCTGGCCCTGCAGCTGAATCTTGAGGTTTTTTGGATCCTTGATAGTATAACTATAAGGAGCTCCCAGAATGATATGGGTAATTATTGAGGTTGTGAAGTTGCTAGAGCTGTGGCTTTTAGCCTGACGGATGTGCTCAGGATCCGGAAACCCCACGAGGACCGCCCTTGAGAAACACGTCGCTATGTGGGTGCCCAAGATTCCGGTCAACAGCAACTAGGGATAGGATGAGAAGGGGCCTGATTCTTCGCACACGGTACACCTGCGATGACAGGAGCATGACTGGTGCTGACAAGATCAACAGTAATGAAAGCAAGATAATCGTCACAGTCCGTAGTCATGGTCATATGTAATTAACTGCTCCAAGTACTCCAACGTTTCGAATCCGGCAAGGCTGGAGCATGCGGCTGCTGCCTTTGCTTTTTCCTCCGGCATGGTGCGCCCTCTGGTCTGCAGGGTTTGTGATTTTGGTGAGTGGCTTTCGCAAATAGCAGCCACTGCGGAGGCTTGGGGGGCTTTGTATCTCAAAGGCTTGTCTGTCGTTGCAAGAGATGCGGAGCCTCAAGAGTGTGAAGGGGTCGAAAGTCCTTTTGTTGGTCGGCCGGCCTTTCGACTGGTCTCAAGGTCGTTGCACAAGACATCCAATCGCAAATCGCATGTTGGCACATGCCTCTTGCTGCTGCTGCTGACCTGGCTACGAATGCCATATAACCGAACCCGACAGGCGAAGCACTGAACTGATACTCTTTCGTATTCTTTCGGGGCGCGCTGGCCGTGCCGGCAAAAAATAGATGTGTTGGCAGTCGGAGTCGGGCAACACTAAGCATATGAAGCCTGAACAGACAGCCCGGCAGCAGCCATGTCGTTCTGGTCAAATCGAGCTGTATCTAGGTCTCTCTCAGGTTCTTCACACGTCCCGTGAGAAGTTCCCCACGAAAGCTCAGAAGCCTGAGCTTTAGCCACAAGGCTGCGCTCCACACGGTGACGCGCCTGCTGAAGCAGGCGCCATTCCGGAGGGTTTCGGGCTAAGGTTGCTTCTAATTCAATCTGTCCTGCATCGAGCAGAGCTCCTCACCTTTGCAATTCGACTCCTGAAGTAGGAAGCTTTGGCCACTTGGCATCGTCTAGTCGGCGGCCAAATGTACCCGGCAAATTCTGCACCGAAACAGATTGCAGGGTGACGACATCCTCGTAAACGAGGACATCTACGGTGGAATGCACCGGCTTCTGACGCAGGAGACCTGAGCAGCAGGTAACACGCAATGAATGCGCAGTTGCCAACATGAAGTGCAGCATCTTCTGTCTTGCAGAGCGTTAGCCACCAGCTCCGACTGTGCAGGACTGCAAGAACAGCGGCATTCAGGCGCGACAGAGGGCGTGCGCGGACGCCTCTAACGGCGAGCGCAGTTGACGGCGTCACGGAGAAACTTACATCGAGCCACACATCAGGGCCGTTATGCGAGGATTCGTCTCGACATCATGTCCTCGCAAATGAAGACGGAAGCCTCAAGCGGAGTTGACCTCGCATCTCGGGGTTTGGCCACTATCCATGAGGCAGTCGAGTGCACATGCTAGGTGCGGTTCGTGGACACGACGAACTTGGATGCAGACCTGAGCTTAATGCTCTGCTTTCTGATAGTGTCAATGAGATGCCGAAGCGCATGAACGACACAAACTGACAAAGTGCACATCTGGAGTCCCACGTTTGGATCCTTCCTCCGGTCCGAGAGACGGGCACAAATGCAATCTCAAGGTGGCAAAAGCGATTTTGCCGACCACTCGCATCATCCATACGGCCGTGGGCTCGGAATGGAGTGGTGGCTGATAGCCCAAGAAGGGGCCGTTGTGTACCTAAGAGGCACAGGCGAGAGAACAGAGTGACGAGGCTGCAGAACATCTTCTCCTTCAATGCTTTGCACTGAGGAAAGTCCTTCCAACCCTCGCATGCGCATCACCGACCTGAGGGCACTGGCGAAATTGGCGCCCGGACGCCCAGCGAAGAATCGAAAGACCCGGAATATCGAAAGCCCGGGCATCTTCACAAGGGCCTCGTGCTCATTTCGCATGCAGGGCAGGACAGCCCCGTCTGCTTGCGCACATACGGCAAAAAAGTCATCTTAGAATATCTTAGATGCCAACTCGATAAGGGGTCAGGTTTTTGCTGGCGTGGTGTATAGACTCTGATATGCAGATTCCTTCGCTGGGATTTCATTGAAGCTCGCTAGGGCAAGTTGTAGCAGACTTTGGCGGTTGCCACGCCACATCGATCCCAAGAGGGGAATCGGGGCCGCTGGCAGATGTGGCATGCGTTTGTGTGCATGTATGTATGTATGTATGTATGTATGTATGTATGTATGTATGCACATACACAAACACATACGTATACATCTACCCATATGCATGTCTGTCGATCTTGCGCATCTCATTGTATCGACCCGGCTGCAGAAACAGCTCGAAGAGAGCAAACAGCTTTTCGGAAGTCAACCCCCCCCCACCTGGGACACCCAGACTCTTTGGGTGCTGAACCTCTGCCTAGGCACCAGAAAGGCGTTCTACTCAGTGTGGACAGTACGATGATGCCGCGCCTTGGCTGATGGAACCTAGTGAGCCAGCGCTGTTGGTCTGGTCCTGACAGTTCCGAAGCCCTTGTGCTAAAGTGCCAATGCAGAAAGATGGGGACGAGGCCCGTGATCTGCCAGCCGTTGTTGCTGGGAGTCGACATCGTGGTGCACGCCTGAGCTGTTCTGCAATCTACAGTGGAGCTCCTGACATGGCTTTAAGAGAGAGGGAAGGATCCAGAAAGCAGCGACAGGAAGTGCTCCTTACCACAATCCTCAGGTCCACTCTGCCACGAAGTTCTTCTCGGGCCATGCAGATTGTACAGGGGGGCTGGTCTGTGTGCGGGACCCGGAGGCGGGCAGAGCTCTATCCCTCCCTTTTGCTCTCTCTGCTCTCTCGCTCTCCCTCGGTCCCGCTTCTCTCCCTGTTCCTGCCTCTCTCTCTCTCTCTCCCTCTCTCTCTCTGTCTTTCTTTCTTTCTTTCGCTCTCTCTCTCTCTCTCAACCTCTCTCTGTCCGTCTCTCTTTCCTGGCTCTCTCCCTGTCTCCCTCTCTCCCTCTCTTCTCTCTCCCTCTCCCTCCCTCTCGCGATCTCTCCCGCTCTCCCTCTGTCTGAGCCCCGCAATCACAAGCACCAGCAAGACCTTCGCAAAGACAGCATCCCAAGGACAGAACCATGAACATATATCTGCCTACTTCCATATCTAAACTCTAGCGCTAGTCAATCGCACAGAACCGGCATCCGTTGATTGCCTGCTGGTGATGTGCAGCTCGCCCACCGCGTGGCCTTCCTCCAGAACGCGGAGGGCACGGCCCTGGCACCTTTCGAGCGCCCCGTCCTTTACACCCCCGGCCTTGACCTATTCAGACATGCTGTTGGAGGTGGCAGGGGAGAGTGAGAGCAGCTTTCGTGGCAGTGGAAGAGGAATTTTTGGCAAGAGAGCAGCAGTTGTGTTGCCGGTGATTGCGCTTCTAGCACCGATGTTGTAACACAAACCCCGACTTCCGTTTCAGCAACGGCCGCGATAACGGCTCATAGCAGCGGCATCGGGAATCATCGTGGTCATAACGACATAACGGCGCAGTACCTTCTGTGTGCGTGGGATAATCATTTGGCACAGCTTTCGGATTTCGGCTTCGGGTCTCAGCGACCGGCTCAAGGGATCGGGGCTCCGGGCTGAGGCTTTTGGTCAGGGCCCAGGTCTGAACGATGTAACAATTGCGAAGCATTGCGAAGCTCTCCCAGGCACCGGGCAATATAGGGGCCCTATACTAATTTGGGGGTTCCTTATTACAACTGTAGTATAATATACCCCCAAACCCTATTCTAATTATTAAGGCCCCTTCAGTAGATTCTATGGCACGATCGAAAACGGCTCATCGAGAAGCTGCGCAGATGTGTGGGATGTCCGGTTAGGAACAAGCCTCGCAGTTCCGTTCCTTTGCAAAGGTGCTTCTTGTTTCTCCGGGGCATCAAGACCATGTGGCTCAGGGTGAGTCGGGCACAGGCTGCCTTCTCGTGATTTTCGTGCGTTCGTGTCAAGAGGTGCAGTGCAAGAGAGTTCGTTGAGTCTTTGGTGGCATTAGTGCTGCCCTTGTGAGGTGGAAGCCGTGTCGGATTCGGATGTGCTGCTAGCGTACTTGTGTAGCTTCCACGCCCTCTGATTTAGCCCTGGCCTGCCTCGAGAGACGGGCCATCCCTTCCTGGTGCCAGGAGAACGCCCAGGAAATCGCCAAATTCCTCTCCAGGCCAGCCGCACGGGAGTTATACAAACTCGCGCTTGCGCTCCAAATGCTCTTTCGATTCGGTGCCCAAGAGCAAGGCAGAAGCAAGTCGAAGTACACATGCCACCTGCTTTTGAAGTGCTGTGAGCTCTACCTGGTGTTTTCCACAAGACCGTCCGAAAGCCCTGAATTTCCTATGGTGTTTGTTTGCCTCTGTGCCCGGAACAGCCGCAGGCATCCCAAAGTTACTGGCGTCTTTTTCCCGGGCCCTGGTGGCTGTGACAACCGGGCTCTGAGGCGGAGCATAATCTCGCGGTTGGGGAGGTGGCTTCGTTGACGGCTCAAGATGATTTCAGGGCAGGTCTGACGATCTGAGGTTCTGCAAAGATTCCGGATGTTTTCTTTCAGCCCTCCAGGAACATGCTTTTCTATGTTTGGGCCTGTTTGGGATGCATTTTTCTAGGATCCTGGGGAAACCCTACACCTCGATCCTGGGAGCCCTGCATGCTGAAGGATACACCAGTCGCAGAGCAGCGGGCCTGGATGCGTCATCAGCTTCACAACAGGCTGGTGTCATGACTGTGCAGCCACTTTAATATGAGGGCTGCTTGCTTATCAGTATGTACCACAACTGTAGGCCCGTGCTCGACTTAGCCGCGCTGTTGCGAGCCGTGGGGTTCCCGAGCCAGGCTCGGTGGGCTTCTCACGCCGGCTGTTGGATGCCAGCCGGCTTTTTAAGACCACCGTGTCCTTCGGCCCCTCTGTTGCAAGCAGGGTTGGATTGGGTCCCGTGGACCTGCCTTGGCGTTTGCATGCCAGGTTATCAGTGACCCTGACGCGACTCTGAAAGGCTGTACCTGCCCAGGCTGTGGACCGGCGTTAAAGTCCCACCCATGCCTTCTCTTGTGGCTCTGCGGAACTTCGATGTTTCGCCCAGGCAGCGTCAACAGCTCGGCACTGAGATGGGGCCAGGGCATGGATGGAATTTGGCTGAGCTTGGATCTATGGGTTCGAGCGCGTTGCGAGATGCAATGTCGCAGTGGTCGTGAAAGGGCCCTGAAGACAAGAGCCTTGCAAGCTGACAGCTGCAACCAGCTCCGTCCAGGTTTGGGGGAGATGCCCTGCACCATGAGTCACGCATCGATTCCCGCGGAGCAGCAGACGTTGCCGCAGGCCTCATGCACGGGGCCTCCCCCTCCTGACCCTGGACACACATCGAGCAGGGCGCGTTAGACATCCTTTTTTGCTCATCTGGTCTTGGTCCAACCAGGATCTGGTTCGTCTCTCTGTCGGCATCGAGGACGTGTCCGGATCCCATGAGAGCAGTGCTGCTAGCGCATCGCCAGTCACTTGGGCTCTCACTTCATCCTTGCAATAATGCCAAAACGACACTGCGAGTGCAGCTTTGTTTCTATGTCGGTCGGGGGGTATGAGTGCTTGAGTTTGCATGCCAAGCACTGTCGTTCCAGGCGCGACCTGCTGCTGGACTTGCAGCGAGCACTCGAGACGGCCAGTGGCCAGCGCGAGCAGCCGAGCAACGACCAGTGCCCCATGCGAGAAGCTGTGGCTCGCCGTGGCAGTCGCCCGGGCATCACCTGAAGGGATAGGGATACAAAAACACATTGAAATACGGTGAGTACGGGTCACATAACTAAACCTAGACCTAGCCGCTGACGAGGAAGGGAAGAAGAAAGAAGACCAGAAGAAAGCGAGAGAAGAAAGGAGGCCAGAAGACAGTGAGAAAATAAAGCAAGAGATGAAATGAGGGAAGGAAGGAAGGAAGGAAGGGTAGACACAGGAAAGAAGGACTTCTGATTCGCAGCACCTGCACCGTGTCCTGTAGCACCCATGCCTCCGGCATCCTCCGGCCAAAGGAGACTGCCGTCACTGAGCACTGTTGGTGACACACACATCACATTCTGAAGTTGTAGCACGCTTATGTCTCCAGCAGCTGCCATGGAAGGACTGCCAAGCAGCCTTTGCGTTCCGGCCGCACATCCCCAGACCCTGTTGAATAATGTTGCGGACTCATGGATGCCGGTGAATGAACTACGAGTTTGTTGATCTTATCAGTGGCTTGATTTCTGCGCCTTATCCAGTTCTTTGTGCCCCTCAACCGCTGATGAAGGATTGCATCGTGTGGTATTCAGACCCTGAAATGCACCCTTCCGCCGCGAAGAAGAGATCATGAAGGGGCTCAGCCAGAAAGCTCGAAGCCTTTGAGCCCAGATCTGCGCAGCAGGTACGACAGCCGATTTGAAGACCTCCCCGTGGTTCCCAGGTGCACCCTTCTCTGGAAACTTGAGGGAGGCTTCGGTTGAACAGTGCAAGCCTTGGTTGAAAACTCACAGCGATGCAATGGCTATGGTAACGATGGCGCTGACCCTGAGCCCTGAGCCCTATTCTGCCCTCTTAGCGCCGCGAGCACCGAGCGGAAAGGCTTCCGGGGGCCATCGCGGAGGAAACGGATGGGCCCGGGCCTCGGGGGTCCGGGCGGTAGAAGAAGCGATGCTGATTTCGATGGGCCGTGTGATGGTTGTGAAGCAAGATGAGCATGATTGTGGCCGTGGTGATGACGGTGATGACTATGACGACGATGATCAAGCAGATTCATGCACACGATCATTGCGATCGTGGTGCTGGTGCTGATTGGTAGTTTTAAGTCTTTCATCATCGATGTTGGCAGAAGTGTCTCTGCGAATGTTAGTAGATGCAGTTTGCAGGGTTCGTATGTACTTGGACATGGTTATGCACATGTTTAGAAGTTCTGTCATTAACACTGACAGCCATGCCAATACCAATATCATCAGAAAGCGACAGGGCAATGCTGCAATGTATGTATTGATGGGACAAACTTCGGAGAGCAGTATGGCTAGCAGCGCAATATGAGTGTCGGCACTACCAGTGCGAGTATGGTCATTGGGCTTGGCAGTCTTCCCCAAGACTTCGAAGATCTTCCGCAGCCTCCCTGCATTCGCAGCAAAGGTCCAAACCTTCCGACCTCCCCCTGTAGTCAAGCGCAGGCACGACGACGCCTCGGGCCTGCAACGCGGCGACTCCCTTGTAGGCGGGAGACCTGCCGGGACCCTCTGAGAGCTCTGTTTTGCTTTTGCGTCTGACATGACATTTTGTGGGTCCTGCACTGCATCCAATATATCCGATCAACTACCAAATGTCGTCAAAACTACATGGCTCAAGCGTACATCCAGCCAAGCCCAGCAGGAACATCGCAAAAGACCTCAAATGCCTGATGAAGTCCCAAACAGTCCCAAACAGCTTTGAGCAAGGCTCTGTGAAGCCCAAGGCTAGGGGTTTGAGGGTTTCGCATTTGGGGTTTAGGCCCTCTTTCGGTCCTTGCAGTGCCCGCGACCTTGCCCAGTGGCAGGTTTCCTTACGGCACAGGCCCAGCAAAAACGTCCTGGGCTCGCACTGCTGGGTGTCGCCGCGGCGCGGTGCTCAAACTTCTGCACCGAACAGGTCCAAGAAGGGGGCGGGTCAGTAAGCAACGCTGTTTTTCGGAAGTCGCCGCATGTTTGTCGTAGGGATCCCGCCGGACTCCTTGCTGAAGTGATTCGGCCCATAGCCCATCTTGCGAGTTGGGACCCTCTGTGTCGGGGTTTCGTCGTGAGGAGGCCTTGCTGAACAGAAGCTCTTCCGGAACGATCCCAAGAGCTAGCACCAGCCTCTAAACACCGCAATCCCGAGGAAGCCGTGGCTTTCGTAGGGAATGCAAACGGTCTGCCATGTCCTGTGCTTGTGGCGTTTGGCGTTTGATTCAAGATGAAAGATGCGGAGAGAGTGGCATGCATGAGCGCCCTTACAACGCTCAAGAGACCAGCAAGCACACGACGGGCAAGCCGAACTCACCCATGGGAGCTCCCAGGTTTCTGTTCTTACTCTAGGGGCTTTGGCCGCCGCCCGGAGCCAAGCTGCCAACATGGCACTACGAGTCGGTTGAGTGCTTCATTCATTCGGAAGTCAAGTCTCTTCCTATGGCCATGTCCCCATGGGCTGCAACATGATGATGCCGACAATGTAAGGGGTTAGGGCAGCGGAGTGAGAGGTCTTTGTCTCAATACGCTCTCAACTCTCAACGTGAGTCTCTCGAGTTTAGCGCGAGCGGGAAGTTAACACTTCTACTTCTATGCCTCGGGCCAAGGCAAAGCTCCGGCGACGGTGAGCGCATCTGCGTTTTGGCTGTGGGTTAAGTCGTAGAAGGCTTTCTCTTTGTTAAGCGATCGCTCCAGGTTTCCATGGAACACGTAAACTTAAACTCCAAACGTTAGAATAACTCGCTGCACTTCGGTTGCTTTGGGAAGTTTCTCCGCTTGGATGGCCAAGACCTTCCAAGCCCATGGCCCAGACCAGGGCTCAAATAAACATGTGGAAGTGTACATACCGGTGTGGGGATGCCCCTGCCAAATGCAGCAGTGCTTGACCAAGCTCAGAGCGTAAGTTCAAGACTGGAACGATACGCCTTTCATCAGGCCGGTAAGGCTTAGTGCTCAAGGGCCTTTGAGGTACGAGTAGCTTGTTCGTTGTCTTCGCATCCCATGTACTTGCCATGCCTGCAGAGAGGTAGTCTGGAATCTGCAGGAACTCTCCGAGCGGGGCATAGTGCCCATACGTCCTTAGATGGGTTGAAACGTAAGAGCATTGCTGCCAAGTGGGCATCGGAGCCTCGTCTGTGCCTTTTCTCTTCTCGGCACTGTCTGGCCCAAGTTGGATTTGTAGGGAAACCCCCCTCTTCACCGCGACAGGTTCTGTGATCCACTGGCAGAAGCTTCCGAGAACAAACGCTACGCAGAGTCGTAAGCGCAGTCCTGAGGACGGGTCCTAGGCGAGGGGCGCGAGAGGGCAAGATCACCAGACCCGAAGCCCTTCTAGATCCCTTGGACAAGGGAACGTTGAAACCTCAACCCAACCCTTCTAGATCCCTTGGAAAAGGGAACCCTGAACCCAAACCCTTGCAGATCCCTTGGAAAAGGGAACCCTTG